ATGTTCTCTTCTCATCATGGAAAAAGTGGTTGAACGAGCTAAAGCAAGCTGCACCCATAACTATTCCACGATATTACTTCCCAGGATTCAGTCGAGTAAGAGAGGTCGATTTACATGTGTTTGCAGATGCCAGCGACAAGGCCTATGCAGCAGTAGCTTTCTTCTGTTTGGAGGGGAAAGAAAAAACGTATAACCATATATCTTTCGTTTCAGCAAAATTCAAGGTAGCTCCATTGAACCAGCAGACTGTTCCAAAATTAGAGCTGCAGGCAGCAGTGCTAGCTTGTAGAATGGCTAAAACAATAAAAAGCGAAATAGAGTATTGTATTCGACAAGTGCACTACTGGACAGATTCAATGGTTGTCTTGCATCAGATAAAGTCTCAGTCCAGGCGATTTCCAATCTTTGTTTCCTGTCGCATTGGTGAGATTCTTGAAGAGACGGATTGCTCACAATGGCACTGGGTACCCTCAGAGCTGAATGTTGCTGATCAAGCAACCAAAGAAACGAAATTTTTGAATTTATCGTCCGATAGCAGCTGGTTCAACGGACCCGAGTTCTTGAAGCAAGCAAGACATTTTTGGCCCATGGAACCACAAAATAAACAAATTGGTATAGAAAAGGAGACAGTATTACTTCACAACGACATCCAGTTCATGACTTTTTTACCTGAAATTTCAAGGTTTTCCAAATGGACGAGATTGGTTAGGTCAACTGCGTGGATAATTTTCGCTGTGAAACAGTTTTGCTTGCCAAAATTAGAGAGATCCCATACTCTCACACTGGGAGTAGAAGAAATCGAGAAAGCATCCAAATTATGGATTATCAAATCGCAGTGGGAATCATTCAAACTGGAAATTCAAGATTTGCACGAGAAGAAAGATATTTCAAGAGCCAGTCGACTCCTTAAATTATCAGTATTTTTGGACAGTGATGGCATATTACGTATTGGAGGAAGACTGCCTGATATCGACATTGATTATGATTCAAAATTTCCAATGATTTTATCCCCTGATAACAGATACACCAAACTTTTGATAGATCATCATCACGTAAAAGCTGGGCATGTCGGTATAGAAACAGTCGTCAACAACCTTCGTATGAAATATTGGATATTGCATATACGAGCAGCTGTTAAGAAGAGTTTTCGAGCATGCCAGAGCTGTAGAATAAGAAAGTGCAAGCCAATTGCTCCTGAAATGGGATTTTTACCAAGGGAACGAGTTGAGTCATTTGTTTTTCCGTTTACATTTGTTGGAATTGACTTTTTTGGCCCAATGAATGTTTCAATCGGCCGAAGAGTAGAAAAAAGATACGGTGTGATCTTCACATGCCTAACGATCAGAGCCGTACATATTGAATTGGCATCTTCATTGGACACAAGTTCTACAATCATGGCCATAAGAAGATTCATGTGTAGAAGAGGACAGCCGAAAGAAATTTTCACTGATAATGGGACGAATTTTGTAGGCGCTGAAAGGGAGATACGAGAATTAATACAGAGTCTGGACAATCAGGGAATTGCTGACAACTTGAGTATAGACGGCATCATTTGGAAATTCAACCCACCAGGCGCAGCTCATATGGGAGGCATATGGGAGAGAATGATCCGATCTGTGAAAACCGCTCTGAAGATTACTCTCAAATCAATGAATCCGAAAGAAGAAGTGCTAATGACGTTGATGCTGGAGGTAGAATATATGATTAACTCTAGACCTCTTACGCACATATCCATAGATCCCTCAGAACCTGAAGCTATTACACCTAATCATTTCATTTTATTGAGATCAGGCCAAGTTAAATCTTATGGTGATATAGAAAATGAAACTCACCTCACGAGGAAACGATGGCGTCTCGTTGAATCATTAGCAAATTCTTACTGGAAACGCTGGATAAAAGAATATAGACCACAGCTAATACAACGACAAAAATGGCACAAGAAAATTGATCCAATAAAAATTGGAGATATAACTATCATTATGGATGAAAAGCTCCCAAGAAATGAATGGTTATTAGGCCGAGTTCAAGAAACTTATCCTGGAAAGGATGGTACACCGAGAGTGGCACAAATAAAAACAAAAAAAGGAATTTATACGAGGCCAGTCACGAAACTATGTATTCTCCCAACGTCGGCAAGTTAGTTGTGAAGATCACATATCTTCACGGGGTGGAGAATGTAAAGTCCATTGATTTATACACCCAGTGCATGGAGATAGATGATATAATTTGATATTTTGAAGTTAATTGTCAATAATTTATTTCTGAATTTGTCATTGATATTTTGCCAAAAATACATACATTTGCTAACGTGCCTTTTTGTGTGTGTATTTTACACCCTTTATTGTTAGCAGTATTCAATAGCATGAATCGAATGAGATTTTTAATGAAACTATCACTTTATTTTTCATACTGTCAGATATAAGATGATTTTACAATTACTTAATACAATTGTGATATATTTGTATAATTAAAAATAATTAAGACATAAAATACAATTGAATTCATTAACTATTTTTATAAAAACATTATTTGTAAATATACATAATTAACTTCTCATTATCGTAACTCTTATAAGGCACATAATACAATGGAAATTGAATGTGTTGGATGTTTTCTGATATTTTAATAAAACTATTTTTATAATTCTCGCTCACAAGGATCATGGAAATGGTGCAGGTTACAGAATTACAAAATGCGCTATTTCATAACTATATGGATAAAAAAAGAAATCGAAGATATCTCAAACAGTTCCATTTTTGACATGGATATTATACTCATCACTTGTTCTCAGGCCTTCTAGTTTCCATAATATGACATTCGCCATTCGTCTCATCTATAGGCGCTATATTGAATTTACATAGGATACCGAAAATCTTATCCACCACAATTGAATACCAGACATCATTTTTCTGTCAAAAATGTGGTAGAAGTGTAAGATGTTATTTTTGAACATTTTTCACTAAAACAATACAATTGTCATATCACTATGACTAGTAGACCTGAAAAAAAGTAGTAGCATTGGTAGAATTGTCATGTTAAATCTAGAACTGTTAAATAGTTTTTGGGCATTTCTAGAATTTCCCTAGATACTTGTAGTATGTACATGAATTAGATCAATTTTTTTTAATAAATCTGTGTCTTTTACCGATTCCAAGATCCCCTATTTGATGAAATTGAAACATTTTTAGGGTCATGTCTAACGACTATGGAGTGTGAAGCAAAGGCCACAGGAAGTCATCTATCTAATTTATTTATTTTTCTGAATTATTGAGTACTCGCATTACACAATTTTTTCGCAAACATTTTACTTAAAATACAGTGTGTCCCACTTACCATGCTCACCATGGGTATCTTTTTAACGGTGAGAGATGCGAGGTCGGTTAAATGACACCAAATGTGGAGTTTGTGGAGGCCAACTATAATGTGAAAAAATATTTCGATAAAATCTATTCGTTTTTGTTTTATACGCAAAAAACCGATTTTGATCATTTTCATGTCTCCTCCATAACTTCTTTATTTATGGAAATATTCAAATAGGAATTTCACATTCTCATGGCAGTTTTTCAAAGTGATTTCTAAAAAAATACGAAATCTATACCAACTCTTCTAGAATTTGATATATCAGCACCAACTTTGGATTTTTAAATGTAGGTCATAGCTCACTATGACTTATTTGCATGTAATTTTTTTTTCTCTTTCAGATGATATGTCGCAGTAATAGTTTTGTGTTGATAACAACGGAGTTATTGTCATTTATCAAAAAAAAAAATATTTGAAAGCCGCCATCTTGAATTTATTATGAATTTTAACAAAAAAATCATGATCTCCGACCTCAAAAACCCCCACTTACCAATTTTGAATGGAATCGGACATCGGACATCGGAATCGGATGGCGGACATGATTTGGTCCGATTCCATCCAAACTTGATAAGTGGGGGTTTTCGAGGTCGGAGATCATGATTTTTTGTTAAAATTTATAAATTCAAGAAGGCGGCTTCCAAACAATTTTTTGTTTTTAACTCCGTTATTATCAACACAAAACTATTACTGCGACATATCATCTGTGAGAGAAAAAAAAAGTTATTTTTAACTAAGTCATAGTGAGCTATGACCTACATTTGAAAAACCAAAGTTGGTGCTGATATCTCAAAGTCTAGAAGAGTTGGTATAAATTTTATATTTTTTTCGAAATCACTTTGAAAAACTGCCATGAGAATGTGAAATTCCTATTTGAATATTTTCATAAATAAAGAAGTTACGGAGGAGACATGAAAATGATCAAAATCTGTTTTTTGCGTATAAAACAAAAACGAATAGATTTTATCAAAATATTTTTTCACATTATAGTTGACCCTGACAAACTCCACATTTGGTGTCATTTAACCGACCTCGTATCTCTCACCGTTAAAAAGATATCCATGGTGAGCATGGTAAGTGGGACACACTGTATATGAATTTATATAGATAATAAAGACGGTTTTAAAAAGAAGCAGTCAATAGGGGTAGTTGTAGTTTGTCATATTCATAATCTAGTGAGAGTTAACAAAAACAGTACACTTGAAGCATTAATTTTACATATCAAGAGAGAGAGCTACAACCTTTCAAGATCCCAAGAAATTTTATGGTTTTGTCTGCTTGAGACTGAAGAGAAAAGTGACATTCGTAAGAGTATCAAGAAAAGTGTATATGAGTGATCTGACCATATGAAATAATTTTATACAATTCATTACCGAATGAGTAAATATACAGATGCAAGAAGGTTTAAAATCAATCTTAAAAAATACTTGCTCAGGACAATTTGAATGAAAAATATGTGGCATGATTTGATTACTTAGAAATGAAATATAACTTTAATCTTAAGAAACAATATTAATTCGTTTCCACTGAGTGGAATTCATTAGTTAACCCTTTATTATTTTTTTATATGTATTCATGTACCCCTATCATAAACAGAAATGTTTCTTGGAGTGATAAAGACAATCAATCAATCAATCAATAATTCAACAAATAAATGGAAAATTAAAAAAACATAATCGGATAGCCTTGAAACCTGAGGCCTGTTTTTGCGATTCCTTTCTGAAGAATGATGTGGCCTGAGTGAACAAATAGAAAACTTTTGTGGTACGGTTAGACATGAGCAGGCTTGCGATTTAAACACAAATATCAGCTTGGTATGTATGCTGATTTGTAACGGAATCTTCGAACGTGATGTTGACCCACTTGAAAACGTGTAATTGAATTGAAACTTCGCAAACTTATGAAGGACCGATGACAATAGCACAATTCTATAGTCGGATTTCATAATCTTTTTAAATATTTAATCAACGAATTGGATATTGCAAAGTTTCGAAGCATCGGCTGGATATATTCCTGCACGATTCCCTGTTGCGTTCCAATTAACAGTGCTGCTCCTGAGGTGGCATATGGAGTTAGTCACAAAGCATGCACGGAACACACGATTCATAACACTTTGAGCTGAAGGACCTCGATCGCGGTCGATGGCCAGTTGGTACTTACATGCATAGCTACCAACGAAGTACATATACTACTACTGTTCCTGATGGATACATCCAGAGACACGGCAGTGTCTTGCACCAAGTACTCGTGTGAAATAGTAACACTGAGAGAGACAATAGTGTCTTCCACCAAGTACTTGTATGAAATAAGGTTTGCAGACAGGGAGCCTGATGAACGGTTACAACATCCAAGGAAAACAACAGGTCTGCGAATTACCAACTTTGACTGCGGGGCGATAGTTACAAAATAGGAATACTAAAAAACACCCTTTTGTCAGCCGAGCCGAAAATCGAAAATAAATGGTAGTATGAAAGAACTGAAAAAACACTGTTCTATAAATAGCCAAACAAAATAAAGTAGAAAGTAAAATATAAAAGCGGGTTAATAAATACACAAAAAAAATACTGATTACGCAGATGCTGATATTTTCTATGTTGTGTATTCATTTATCAACACGATTTCATTATTTTATTCTCAACTTTTTTTCAGTTTGAACATCTATAAAATCGTGCTTTTTAGTTCCACTTTACTACTATTCATTTACTACCAATGTAGTGGTGAAGAATGACTACAATCATTTATTGATGGCAAATAATTATAAGTCAAATTTTGGTAAACAATCAATATTCCATAATGAAATAATTTTATATAACCTAATGAGTTGAAAAATATAGAAGCAGAAAAATTTAAAATCATATTAAAGAAATATCTGCTCAGTAAACTTCAATTTCATATCTACTAATCATTCACAATTTGATTACTTGTAATGGATTATAATATTTTCATTTTATATTTTATTATAATTTTATTTTATGGAAAACAATAATGGTGCATTTATTATTGTTTCAATTTATTATGTTATATGTATGTTTTGTTGTATACATCCCTATTATAAAAAATAATGTTTCTTGGGGTAATAAAGACAATCAATCAATATAATATATTAGTAATAGACGTTTTGAAGTGTCATTGTAGAATATATGTTGTCAGAGATTATTGAAATATTTACAGTTCTTATCTATTCTTTATTATATTGGTAATTGCTGATTCACTGGGGTATCTATATTTATCAAAAGGTTATGGGCCCAGTAGGTAATAGTTTTCATGAGAAGTGTGGAATTGCTCAGTTCAATGGGCATGACTTCGGAAATTGGAAATTTCATGTAGAAGCATTACTAGAAGAAAATGAAGTGAAAGAATGTATAGTTGGTTTACCCGCTGAAAGTACTGCTGACTGGAAAAAGAAGAATAGTAGATGCAAGTCTTTGATTGCGTAGCCAATTCGCATTTAGAATATATTAAAGATAAGGAAAATGCATTCGACATGTGGAGAGCTCTCTCAACGACTTTCGAAAGATCTGGAGTAACCAACCAGATTTATCTCAGGAGGAAGATCCTGACAATGAAACTTCAAGAAAGTGAAAAACTGGAATATCACTTTGTTAAATTTGATGGAGCTATACGAGAATTGAGATCTGCAGGAGCGGAACTTGAAGAAATAGATGTAGTATGCCACTTATTTCTTATATTACCGAAGAAGTTTGACAATGTAACAACAGCATTGGAAACTCTCACACCTGAAAATCTTACACTCGATTTTGTTAAAGGTAGGGTTTTGGATGAGGAAATCAAGAGAAACATACACAGTGAAATTGATGGAAACTCATCTAGTATGAATGATGCATCAGCATTCAGTGGTAGTGGTTCGCATGAGAAATTCAGATTCAAATGTCATGGATGTGGAGAAAGGGGCCATAAGAAATCTGAATGCCGTATCACTAAACCATGGTGGAAGAAAAATGCTAATAATGTAGAAATTGAAACTGGCGATGAATGCAGAAAAGAGAAATCTGTAAGCTTTATGATATCTGTAGGAGAACAAATGACAAATTTGGCACATTGTTGTAATTCTATCATTTTCTGGTTTGTTGACTCTGGAGCTACAGATCATTTGGTCAACAATGAAAATGTCTCTACTGTTTCTAAGAAATTGGAGAATCCAATTTCAATTGCAATGGCCAAATCGGGTGAATCCTTGGGAGCAACAAGAATAGGTCATATAGAAGCAATTTCTTTAGTGAAAGGAAAAATAATTCCTGTATCTGTTGATAATGTATTGTATGTTCCAAACTTGAGCCACAATTCTCCTTTCTGATAGAAACATAGAGTCAGCAGGAATAAAAGTTCATTACAAAGATAATCAAGTGATATTCATCAAAGAAACAGAACTTATAGCTGTAGAAAAGAAAACTGATAGGTTGTAAGAATTAAACATGGAGAAAAAGAAAGTTGCTGCAAATATTTGCCAGTCTGGAAAAGAAAGGAGTGATTCATGGCATCGTAGAATGGCGCACATTGGGAAAAATAACATGAACAAACTCATAAATTTGAATATGGTTCATGGTCCTCCTCAGAAATTACAACTAGACTTCCCAGAATTGTGTTAACCATGTTTGAAAGGAAAGCAGTCCCGGAAACCTTTTGATGGCTGCAGACCTCGGAGTGAAAGACTTCTTCAGTGTATACATACGGATATATGTGGGCCTATAGCTCCTAGCACTTGGGATGGAAAGAAGTATTTTCATACTCTGATTGGCGACTCTTCTCATTTCACTCTTGAAAAGTAAAAGCGAAGTGACTCAGTATTTCCAGAAATATGAAGCTAAGGTCACATCGCAATTTAACCTGAAAATGTCTTCAATATGTTGCGATAATGGCGAAAATGTTGCAAAAAAATTTCAAGAATTTTGCAGTGAGAGAGGAATCAGAGTCAGATATACAGTAATATATTCTCCGCAACAGAATGGAGTTGCGGAGAGGATGAATTGGACGTTGGTGGAAAAAGGAAGAACAATGATAGTCGAATCATGCCTAGAAAAATACCTTTGGGGAGAATCTATTTTAGCTGCAACCTATATCGCAAATGGAAGTTCAACATCAGCTGTTGAGGGAAAAACACCTGCTGAATTATGGTATGGTGAAAAGCCTAATGTAAATGAACTGAAAGTTTTTGAGTGTACTGTTTTCGCACATATTCCAAAAGAAAAGAGGAGAAAATTCGACGAATAGAGCGAAGAGTGTGCGATGGTAGGATATGCCCCAAACGGATATAGGCTATGGAACTTCGGCAAGAATACAGTTCAAATTTCTAGAGATGTGGTCTTCTATGAAAATAAGTTTAGAAATAGTAAATATGTTATACCCGAATTATCCAACAAAGAGCAAAGAGAAAGGAAAGAAATTAACGACCATGGATATGATCAAATCGAGCAAGATTCGAACAAAGAGAGTGAAGAGATCCTAGATATTATCGATGATGCATTGTCGGAATTCAGAAGGAGTCAACTAGTCGAGAAACAGCCAGATAAGTTCAATGAATATGAAATGGTTCACTCAGCACTCTCAGCTGAAAATTTTATCGAGGACGTTCCAGGAAACTTGACAGATATACAAGGAAGAAGTGATTCTCATAAGTGGATGCAAGCGATAAAAGAGGAAATGAATGCACTCGAGAATAATTGTACATGGTCTCTTGTGAAATGTCCTCAAGGAGCTTGAGTTATTGGCAACAAATGGGTATTCAAGGTGAAGACAGATTATAAAGGAAATGTGTTGAAATATAAAGCACGACTAGTTGCAAAGGGTTATTTGCAGAAGGAAGGAATAGACTACATTGAAACGTATTCTCCTGTAGTGAAGCTCAGCACGGTAAGATGTCTTTTGTCGATTGGAATTCAGTTTGAGTTTCATTTTCACCAGATGGATGTCAAGACAAGGAGACATGAAGCGTATTTCAATGGAAAATTGTAAACCGATCAGTACACCCATAGAAAGCAATCTTCACTTGGGGAAAGATGACTATAATACAAAGAATCCATATCGCACTATAATACAAGCTAGTAGGATGTTTAATGTTTATAATTTTGGGCTCAAGACCTGATATATGCGTTGCAGTTAGCTATTTTAGCAGATCATTGGAATTATTTGAAAAGGAGACTGCGATATCTTCAGGCCACTATGAGCTATGAATTAGTTTACAGGAAACATCCAGACATCAATCAACTCGAAGGATTCGTCGATTCTGATTGGGCAAACGATAAAGAAGATCAAAAATCTATCTCTGGCTATTTATTAGAGATGAATGGAAATATATTTTCATGGAGTACTGAAAAACAAGCTTCAGTCGCGTTGTCGTCCACAGAAGCTGAATATACCGGGTGACACAGGAGACATGCAGCAGCCTGTAGTTTTTTTATTTGAAGAGATAAAATTTTGAAATTCACAGGGGGTATATAATAAATGGTAGCGCACTTGACGAACTTAGCGACAATTTTTTTCAACCACCTGTTTGACCGGAAGAGATTCCAACTTTTTTTTTAATGTCACCCTGTAAATTTCTTCAATCTATCTTATTCGCCTTGAAATTCTGTATCCAACCATGTATCACAAAGTGGCATTTATTTTTCGATTCGCTGTTGAATTGCTTTTTATTCAATAGGAATAAGTTGACTGTGACATGAATTCGATGATATATCCACACTTGGTAGGCTTTGAAATTTGAAGATCATTAGTAAACCGATATTATTCAAAATGTTTTGATATTCTGATCAATGTCTGCAGGTTGTCAATAGCTTGTTTGAGTCGAGATGAAAACCTTCGAAAATAACTCATGATACTGAGGAATCTAAGATAGGAACTTATTTTTTGGAATTCAGATACTCGTACAGAAACTATCTGTCTTTTATTTTCGCCATGTACCTATCACATGATCTTCCCATTTAGAATAATAAAACTAAAATTGTTCCTCTTATACGATGATCCACAGGGCTATCCGCCTATTTTTTCATAATTATTTCACTTAGTAGGCGGTGTACCTACACAAAATGTTTTATGTGTTTGACAGTTAATCGATTGCATCGATAATTTTTTCTCTTCATTTGTGTGTTGATTAAAATTGCATATTAACAACATATCGACTTTTTCATTTCTTGAATACATTTTCCGTCTCTATTGATAATATGCAATTTTAATCGATATTGGTTATTGCTGATCTACTGGGGTATCTATATTTATCAGAATATAGAACTTTATGAGCAATTTTCACATTGACAGAGAAGAAGCTATCATAGGAAGAGACCAAAAGAAACGAAAAGGAAAAGTGAAACTATCAGTTATACAAACCTCGACCTCACGTCTCAGTAGCGCGATCTGGTGATCAATCAAAATATGTTAGCCTTCATTGACTGAATCCTATCTACATAGATGATTTGACAATTTGGAGTCGAATACAAATATATAAAAAATGTTGATGGTGCCAGTCAAACATTTTCAAAATTCAAGTTTTCATGTGAATTTTGTCATTTCATTTCAGGAACTGAAAATAAATCAATTTTTTTTTGTTTCATTTTGTGAACGGTCTTATTGTTTACCTTCTGGAAATATTGAAATATAGCCAATCTATGTTGATAATGTTTGATTCTGGATACGAGCATATTATAAGTATTGTGAGTTGAACTATCCGGATACATGAAAATAGAAAATAATCTTTGAAAATAACCAAAAATAGCTTGTCATTTAACAGTGACAGAGGGGTAGGAGAAGGTAGATGTTGTAGCACGGTGAAGCACTGGGGCTTCAAGCACTAACAAAAAGAACGAGTACCTACCTATTTTTAAGCTCTGGAGTAGCTCCGGTGCTAACCACATAGTCAAATAGAAAGTGGCTTATATGTACTTCGTCGGTATTTATGTACAGGGTGATTGTTCATATTTTACTGAATGGCTATCTCAGTTAATATTGGTCTTACAGAAACGTTCAGATGGGCAAAAGTGGAGTATTTTTTATAGGCATTTAGAATCTAGTACTAGAAAATGCAAAAAAGCATCCTTTACCTGAAAATGTTACATGGACTGGTATTTTTTAAATGGAACAACCTGTATTTTATTCCTCTCAACGGTTGAGCTGTTTCTTCTGGTTTCAAATATATATACTTCATTGAGGTTGTCTCTGTTAGTTTTCGAAAAATATATTCTAATGCAGAAATCGCAGCATTGTCGTCTTGAACACCAGACGACACATGCCTTAGATCTATATCAAAAAATCTATATTTTTCAAGAACAGACAGATGTGTGTGTGTGTACGATGTTTTTGCACATTTTCTCGTACTAGATTCCAAATGCCCACAAAAAATACTCCACTATTGCCCATTTGAACGTTTCTGTAGGACCAATATCAACTGAGTTAGTTAGTGAGTACATACCAACTGGCAATCGACCTTACGAGATGTCTTTCAGCTCATGTGTGTTCTGTGTATGCTTTGTTACTAACTCCATACGCCACACCAGGAACATTACTGTTAATTGGAACGCAACAGCGAATCATGCGGAATTTACATATAATATCACAGACAAATTATTTTTAACGGTCTTCACACTTATAGGAAGTTCTTCATCAATTTTCAAGTTATAGTGTTTTGATGTTCTTGTTGTAGGTTCGATAGAACTATAATGATGTGTTATATTCAATCACTCATATTTCATTGCGATAAATATGTATATAAAAATATTTTCAAATGAAGACACGCATATGAAAATAATGGCAAAAGAACAGAATGTCCTCATCTGGCCAGCCAATATCATTATAATTATTGAGTAAGATGAATCAAAAAAGGAGAATTTTAGAAACAATCCCTTTTCTATTCCAAATGCTCAATATTCAGACAATACATCTAATTCAGATAGTTACCAAGTTGGGAGGGGGTGCCAAGTTAGTTGGATACCTTGATTTCAACATGGCACTCAACCAGTTTGCCCTCAAAGACGCATCGTTCCATACTACCACGTTTCCGAAATATGGTGTGATTTTTGTCCTTACAGGATGGGTGGTGGCCTCTATAAAAGTTATTGTCCATCTAGATTGTGGATTTCGTTTCGACTCATGGCCAAGGTACCAGACTATGTCTTCAATATTCCAGGAATGTAGGTTAATCTCACCCTAGAAGTTCAGGGGTAATTATGCATCCACAACTTACTCTGCTGAGTAAAGTACTCACCGATTTATCTTTGTAACAAGTTAATTTTCCTTGAGAAAATTGGAAAGTCAGTAGTTTGAATAATTTAGATTTGTTATCAGCAAATTTCATTTCACCTGACACAGGAATCGGCTTTTCTATAATGAACTCCCAATATTTCGACAATGGTGCTAAAGTCAGATAATTGTCTTTCCTATCCTGCTCGTCCCAGTAACCCCATTTCAAGACAACATCCAGAACCTTCGAAGAAAAAAATCTTATCAAGAATATTCGTTAAATACTGTCTGTAGATTAATAGAGGGGGTGGTACATTCATTTCACTTGATTATTTGGGATTTTCTCTCCTCGTTTCTATAAAATAAAAGTATTAGTTCAATATATGTGTAGGACAAATCAGATGATTTGCCATAAATTTGTACTGTGTTTAACACATTTTGTCTTTCAGGGAGCCGATAAGAAAACTCCCAATAGCTTGTCAGTGACACTTTGTTCGGAAAAATGTTTGGAGTGTACTGATATGCTCCGGTTATCTCAGTTAAGTCGTAGATCGTACTTTGTGGGCAAGAAAGAGATCAATCAAGTGGAACTATTTATTCAACATCTACGATATACTGCACAAACACAGACTGGTTACAAATAAACTACTCACCAGATGAAGTGGGACAGCCAAAAAATTGACTAATTTTGATAAGCTATAACTCGACCATTTCTTGGCCGATCTTGGATTTCCAACCAAAGGTAGAAAGCGTCATCCTTGGGCTATGCGTCATTGGCGTCAGGTTTTCATTTTTGCGATTCGTTCTCTTTGTACAGAGTGTGAATTAAGAGTCGGAAAAATTTCAAATTTTTGACCAATAATTTGGGAAATGTGAGGGATCCTAGAATTATTTTTTAGATGTTGGGTGAATGGTTGGTCCGATACCTCGAGACATCTTCGAAATTTTTTTGATAAATTGCGTTGCTATGGAAAAATCACCATTTTATGCAATTTCGATTTTATTTCAAAATGTGACCTCTTTTAGTTGAACAATAATAGCCAACATCTAAACTGCAACAAAGGATATTTCTACTGAAGATAATCAACACTAGTGACGCGCAAAAAGGGGTTTATGATATTTAGAAACGAAAAATTAGTTTTTATTGAAAAAATCGATCCAACAGTTTTATTGATACTTACAGTTAAAGAGGTGTCATACCCTCAATTAGCATATGTTGTCAAATTCAGAGGCGTCCAGAAAAGGGGCATATGATATTTAGAAACAAAAAACAGTTTTTATTGAGAAAAATCAACAGTTTTATTGATCGTTACAGTTAAAAAATTGCCATACATTTAATTAGCATGATGTTGACAAATTCAGAGGCGTGCAAAAGATGATCCTGTAATGTAGACAGATTAAAATTCCACTTTCATAATTCATTTCATTTCCATTTATTAACAATGAGGTGCATACATGTAATTATTTCTCTTCTAATGAATCCATCGGCGTACAAAAAAAAACCATATGCTCACGTACGTTAGAGAACGTTATTCAAGAAACTGAAAAAAAAACACAAATAAATGATTATTCATGGAAAAATAATCTGAATATCATTTGAGTAACGCGTTGGCCCCACTCTAGCCTGAATAACTGCCTCTGGCACCGACATGGCATGCTTGAAATTATTTCGTTTATTAGTTCTATAGGAACTGCATCCCAGATGTCCTTTTGAGATCGTCAAGAGTTTCTGTCTGACGTTTCCTTCGGGAAAATTCCAACTTCATCTAACTCCAGATGTGCTCAATGGGATTCAAGTCTGGGAGGCAATTCACTACGATTTATATTTTGGTCTTGCAGATACCTCTTTACTAATATTACCCGATGAGGCCGAGCAATGCACAATTGATAAAATATAGAAGTTAACGAAAGTACCCAGTACTGCTTACTGACACTAGCAGTAGGCCCATACTTGGTCAGGGTTATTTTTTTTTACTTTTTCACTCATTCGAGATGAGCATCCATTAATACAAGGCGATTCAAAAGTTTTACATCATATGGAACCGTTTTTAATAATTTTGCTAAGTGTTGTTCTCTGTTCGCCCAGTGAAAAATTCCTTGATCGTGGGTATTTTTGATGAGCCTCGTATCCCTGGCCATGTATGGGCCTGCTGAATTTTATTTCAGGGGGTCTGTGTGGTGAGAATGAGAAAAATATTTATCTAAAAAAAAAATGCTTCATCAGAAAGAGGACTAGGAAATTATTGAAGAAATAATACTTTTATTTTTTGGGGGGGCAAAAGTTGAAGATTTTTTTGAAATTTTTTCAGACAAAATTATCGAATTGCACGGCTCGACAAACATCAGGAGCCAGAGTTACGTTCCTGAATATTCATTCATGAATAATGATACAAGAAAATTTTCACTGGGCGAACAAAGAACAACTCTCGATAAAATTATTGAAAATATTTCCATATCAAACTTTTTGAATTGCCTTGAATGATGGATCCTCTTTAAAACGCCAAAGGATAACTTCGATGCTCACCTTGAATAAGTGGAAAACATTGATAATGAGAATAGCATTTCAATTTGTCCACATTACAGAATCACCATTTGCACGCCTCTGGATTTGTATACATCATGCTAATTGAATATATGGCAAATTTCTAACCGTAACAACCAATGAAACTGTTGAATTTCTTCAATAAAAACGAATTTGTCGTTTCTGAATATCATAAACCCCTTTTTACACGCCACTGGTGTTAATTATCTTTAGTACAATTATCACTTGTAGCCGTTTAGATGTTGGCTGTTATTGTTTCACTAAAAGAGGCCACATTTTGAAATGAAAATGGAATTTCATAAAATGGCGATATTTCCGTAGCAACGCAATTTATCAAAAAAATTCCAAAGACGTCTCGAGGTATCGGACCAACCATTCACCCAACATCTGAAAAATAATTCTAGGGTCCCTCACATTTCCCAAATTATTGGTCAAAATTTCGAAATTTTTCCGGCTCTTAATTCACACTCCGTACAAAGAGAACGAATCGCAAAAATAAAAACCCGACGCCAATGACGCATAGCCCAAGGATGACGCTTTCTACCTTTGGTTGGAAATCCAAGATCGGCCAAGAAATGGTCGAGTTATAGCTTATCAAAATTAGTCAATTTTTTGGCTGTCCCACTTCATCTGGTAAGTAGTTTATATTCAACAAGGATTCAATCGACCGGTTTACCTGCCACTATTCAAAACTAAAAATGTCGCAGGACTAGGACAACCCTTTGTCCTCTTTTGCCCGCTTTGGCTAACTGCCCGCTTACGGAACCGAAACTCGCGCATCACATACTTCGTACATGCGCACTCCGCACCATATGACATTATGACGAATTATTTGAAATAGAACCATCACATCACCCCTTGCTTAAATTACATAACCTTTAAGTACATCACGAATGCGTCATAATGTATACATCAGTTAAACATCTGCTTACATGAACAAATAGCATAATTGAACCAAGTTATTCCATACAACCCAATACAAATAAACCCTAAAATAAACACTTTTATTAAGATGAAAAATCTGCAGGAACAACCCAACTACTTTCCTGGCTATATGCCACGACGAACATTGAATTATATCTATTGAACACACGATAAGAATTTGATAACAAAATCTTCTGAAGTAGAGAATTTGCATTCTCCTTCATATGAAGATATGCACATAATATCACTCTCAATATTCTATAGTTTTATTATTGTGGCTATTTGCCACGTCGAACATTGAATTATATCTGTTGATCTCTCAAATCGGATAAAATATTATGACGTATTATGATATCAAAATATAACTTACCAATATGTTCAGTATTCAAATGAGAATTGAAATGTATAGGAGAAGTATATTTGTATAAACTCTGATCATGATGAGCTTGGAACTTGAAAAAAAAATCATTCGTATCAGTGATATGGGGAATTATATCTCTCACAAACAGGTCATATGACTTCACTCGAATAAACTCATTTCGGATATCAAATCATCATCAGTAACCTGAAGTCCAGTTATTCTTTCAGCCATTCTTAGTTATATACACAATTTTCCCTATAATATAACTAAAACTATAACGAATTGACATCTGACAATTATGATTTGTTGACATACTCCTGTCATCTGGGTGCATTTGTTTTTGGATGTATGATAAATTAGTATTCAACATATTTAACTAGGATAGAAATTCTGAATTGAACGTCCTGTATAATGAATATCAATTCATCATACATCTAAAAACAACAGGACTTATTTTGTAATTCACCTTATCTGCACATCGCTGCGCCTTTGTCTTTGAATTATTATGGGCTAGCTCCCAAACAATTTCGAAGGATGCTAATGGCTGTTGATCGTCGGGAAAACTAAATAATCGTGTGAAATGGATTTTTTTTAACTTCTCCCGTTTGTAGGTAATTAGGTGTAAATTGATCGTACAATTTAAACATTCTTCAATGAACCGTAACATATTTGCTATGCTTTGCATGACAAAATGAACGCAAAAGACGACCTACCTCTTTATTGTACCTTTCCGTAATATTTCCTTGCGGAAAGTAGACTGAAATTAATTTTGTTTCATTACCGCCAAAGTATTTTTCCATAGTTTACTAGTAAATTGTGTTGCGTTATCGTTGAGAATGCACTTAGACTCTTGCACCTCTGGTATATATTTCAAAATTTTATCTAATATGAAACATGATGTAGCTTTACGCAGTGCGCACAATTTGACATTTTTGGAAAAAGCATCCACTATTACTAAAAGCTGCGTAACTTTACCCCTTCCTGCAGGCAACGGACCAACCATATCCGGCATAATGGAATTCATTAACCCTCTACTTACTGGAGAAGATTTAACAGATTTTACCTTCTGACACAAGTCACAAGACCCTATAGTATGTCTCACATGTCGCAGCATCTTTGGCCAATAAAATGTCTGACTCATAAACATAATGTTTTTAATTTCCAAAAATGTCCCATTGTCTCATGATGGATTAAAACTTTTTCTTTTATATGATTCTTTGGAACGCATAACCTAAAACCAGGGATATTTTCATCACCCCAGTTGAATTATAATCCCTCATAGATCACAAACCAATTCCATATATTATATTCCTTCTCAGAGATCGGAACATTACTTTGAAAACCCTGAAACTCAACTTTCTCTCTTATCCAATTCTCGCCTAATTGGTCGGCTCGAAGATTCTTTAAATGTTTTTTC